TTAACTCCCTGCTCCCCTTTATTCCCTCTCCGCAGGTGCCCAGCAGGAACCTGAGCGCCAGCAGCCAGAACCTCTCCCCCAGCAGCTCCCTCTCCAGTGCGGGCTGAGGCACTGGCACGACCAGGCCAGCTGGAGTCTCAGCTCTGCTTGCTACCGCCCCCCCCCCCCCTGCAGCCTGCCCGTTTACCCTCCAGGGAGCAGAGTGCACAGAGCAAGGGGCACGGCTGGCTGCAGCCCAGCCAGCCCCCGGGTTGGACCTCACTGGATGCGGTGAATGTGCCCCCCCTCAACTAGGAGAGACCAAGCCGGTGCCTGCCCCCTACTGGGCTGCTCTGGCCCCATAGCACAAGCTGCTCTTTCTCAGGAAGCCCCTGGGCTCGGCCTGGCCCTGCTCCAGCTGCCTTAACCCGCCCCCCCGATTGCAGGGGCCAGGGCTCGCTATTTATTCTATTTATAGGTGAGAGCAGAACAAGCACAACGTGAATAAAGGTGTTTGGCGACTGCTGGCTCTGGGTGTGTGTCAGGGCTCAAGCCCGGGAGGAGGAAAAGCTCCCCTGGCCCCTCTGGGAGGCAGCGGGCTGGCACTGTTACCACCCAGGCAGGGCTCCAGCCCCCCCAGTTAAAATCCTGCGGGGTGGGGGGAATACCACCCCCACCCCAGGCAGCAGATGCCCAGACTCAGTGATGCAGTGGGGGCACATCACCCTTCTGTAGTGGTCTCCTGGTTCGCCGTGGCTGGGGCAGGGTGATCACACAGCACACGGGCTCTGTCCTGGTCTTTATTGCTGAGTCCCAGACAGTCATTTTCAGTATAAAAGTCAGTATCAAACAAGGCCCTGGTGGCAGGGCCAGCCCGTCTGCCGCTGGAGCCAGCCTCCAGCCCTTTGCCCGTGTGTCTGCTGCTGCTCCGGCTCACACCTGGTGCGCGATCTGCTCGACCTTGCGGAGCATCTCCTCCGACTGCAGCTGCTCCAGCGTGAGCAGGGACAGGCCCAGCTGGTCCTCCTGCCAAAACCACACAGCCTGTGAGAGCAGGGCTCAGGCCAGCACCCCGGGCTGAGCTTACAGCCAGTTCCCCCCTCCAGGGCCGGGACCATCCCCGCCTCCCCCTGCTGCAGGACAGCGCTCACCTTGTGGAAGGGCTGGGCCATCTGGCGCAGGAAGTACTTGGCCACCTGCACGGCCTCGTCCACCGTGAGGTTGAGGTTGGCGTCCGTGATGTGCTCCTGGATCCAGCGTGGCAGCTTCCCCCGCTTGTCTGCTCGGGCAAAACGCTACCAACCAAAGAGACCCAGATGGCCAGACAACCCAGAGCTGTGGGGCCACTGCCCACCAGAGCGTGCCACCTCCCCCTC